GTTGGAGTGAGTGACCCAAGGAGGAAGAAGGGGATGTAGGTATTTATACGTGGGTCATTTGTCGGGGCGGCTGGTGATTGAGCCGCCCCTACAAATCGTAGGTATTTATACGTGGGGCATTTGTAGGGGCGGCTGGTGATTGAGCCACCCCTACAAATTGCAACACCAGGGGAGGCTGGTGAGTGAGCCGCCCCTACAAATCGACCCATTTGTAGGGGTGGCTCATATCACCAGCCGCCCCTACTATTCCATTTGTAGGGCGGCTAGTCTCGTGGGTCTCGAGCACGCCCACTCTAGGGGCGGCTCCATCACCAGCCGCCCCTACAAAAAAAATTGTCCTATCACTATAAACATTTTTTGTAGTAGTGCATTTAACTATTTCGCTTAATATAATTTCTCCAAAAAATGGTACTTTAACAATCGTTCAAGAGCTTATCTTAACGTCAAGATTGATTTTAGAGCTCCCAAAACACTAGTTAACAACATCTATTTTCCAAAAGTTAAAGTTGCATTGTTATCTACCAAGTTGGTACTTCCAACTTTATTTAAGTGTCACATACATGTTCTATAGTATTTTTGTTTAATAAAAATTGGTTTTAAACCCTAAGTGATATAACATGATTATTGAATCAACTTTCATTTAGCATTTTTGTTGATCGTTTTGAGTTACGAAAATTGATCTACACACTTTATCACATGCATTGCCATATAAACATGAGGCTCATGACATAGTTTAGCAAGTTATTTAAGTGGTAACACCGAGGGTGTTACAGGGCTGACCCCATGCTCTAATGATTCGAAACTCGAGCAACGTGTTTGAGCCTGGTGGCTCAAAGGCCCAAACTGAGATACACAACTTGGGAGCTCAGAGGTGCTACTCCCATTCCCCACAGACATGTGTATGACTATGAAACATAAAAGCACCCAAACAAGATCGAAAAGTGACTTTTCTATCACTAGTACAAATATGCACATCTATGACAAAACTTTAGTGATGAAGCAAAATCGTGTCACAGACCAACACATAACTATGACAAAATTTTATGTTTCATCATGGATCATTGGTGACGGGCCTTGGGCCCTAACTATTAGTAATGAAGCCTAATATCATCACAAATATCATGCAACAAACGTCACTGAGATTCCATTTGTATCATAGACAGATGGTGGTCGAGGGAGAAAAAGGTCTCTACAACAGCAGAAGGCTAATGAAGATGATGATGACCAGGTGAGGGATGACTCCCTCTTTGTCCTCCACCCTACGGAGATGGTATGGCCACCAGGAGGCCAATACCATTTCCAGTAACCTATTATACTGATCGGTAGGAGAAGCATGACGGAGTTCCTAAGTCATTTTGCACTGGCCACGGAAGGCAAAAAATGACCTGAGGGATGAAGAGGAAGCCCCTACTCCCCTTAGGAGCTTGGTAGGGATGGCCCACCGTGGTCACTAGAGAGCTCCAATGGAGCCTCAATAGTAGGCAGGCCGACGAGTTCCTCCTAGTAATCATCATCATACCTGTGAAACCCTAGGGAAAGGGGGATGGTAGGCACGTTGCTAGCTTCATGATGCCGCTCATGGAAGTGGCACATGCCATTCAAAGTCGATGCCTACCTTTCCCTCGGGAGAGGTGACAGACCCTTGTCAACTAAACCCTCATTACCCATCTCAGGGTCATCGCATCTCCATAATACCGAACTTCCCTTAGCACCATGGAAGCACAACCATTGTTGTGCATCCTGGTCAATGAAGATTCACATTCAAGGCACTCTCCCACTAAAAGGCTTTGTCCATCAGAGGAGAAAGGGGAGCATGATTTGAGGAAACTGCCCAAACAAATCCAAAGCCACCACTGCACCGTGGCTAGGGGCAGATCTATCATACAAAAGGGTAACAAGGCAAGATGCGGAGATGAACCCCTAGGTGAGGAAATTTAGGGCCTATTTGGTTCTCTATCTCTATTGAAGCATGGCTAGGATTAAAGCCTGGGTAGGCTTGGCCTTGTCCCATCAAGCTAACATGCACTTTTTTAGTTGCATGAACTATCTAAGCTTGGTTTAGAATTTGTGTGATTGGTTCCCTGACTTGGCTTGGATAGAATCACCTTATCTACTACCTAGTAACTTCACCCCCTATAGCACATTCTATCAAGTTTGAATTCAGTTTTTAGTTTGTTTTTCCTGTTTTCAAAACTTTGGAATCTTTGAAACCAACAAGTTTTTTATGTTGGTCCTTTAATCAATGTTAGAGATCTCGAATCGATGAACAATTTTGCTTAAAGTCGATCATCAAGTTGTTTTGCAAAATCGAGAGAACGAGAGAGAGGAAGATGTGATGTCAGTCGCTACAGTAGCACCTTCTGCTTCACCGCCGGCAATCTCCACGCGTCGGAGAAATTCGTCGTCGCAACGCCACCTCCTCCCAATTCCTCTTGCACGCAACTTCACCTCGCCCTTGCGCCCTGGCCTGCTCGCATCGCCTATAGCCGCCGAAATCGTCCCCGGTGCCGGTTGCCGCCATGGCCGCCGTCGGCAGCAGCACGGCAATGGACGCCCTCCTTGTCGTGGCCGCCATGCGCAGGCAACTAGTGGCTCTCCCGCGGCGGCGCCCAAGGCCCCCAGGACCCCTTCCCCGGCGATGACGCTCCTAACACCTGCATCGGTCGCCGACCCCGGCCTCCAGGATCCGCGAGATCCATGGGCAAGGTTGCCAAGGGCGGCGCGACAATGCGCGGGACCACCGGGGGCAGCGCGGACGTGCATGGGTGCGGCATCGGGGATGGCTCGCGCTGGCGGACACCGTTGGGGAGGGCCGTGTTCGCGGCGGCGGGACAGGGCACTCGGGGGGCGCGACTCGCGAGGGCCGGCGGTGGGCGTGAACAGCGGCAGCGCGGGCACGGAGTGCCGGAGGTGGAGCAAGGCGCTCGCGACGGCGGGGTAGGGCGTCGCTCGTTGCCGACGGTGGAGAAGGCACGACACCGGAGGAAACGATGAGGACACGAAGGGAGGTGGCGGGAGCGGAACCTGCGCCTGGCCAAGCCTGGCTCCAGGAAAACGGATTGGGATTTCATTCTTTGGGAGCCAGGCCAAGTAGCATACGGTGGCTAGCTTTAGCCAGGGTAAAGCGCAACTATAGGCAACTAAACAAGCCTAAGTTAACTTCAAAAGGCTAAGTCAAAAGTTAGGCACCCAACTAAACATGTCCTTGTTGGCCCTGTTGAGCCACCCGGAAGGCCAAGGAGCCATCGGATTCGCTACGATTGACAGATCCGTGGCGCCCCTTTATTTCCTCGAAGGGTCAAATCCAAAGGCTTGTCCCTGTGCTATAAGCTTGTCCCTGTACCCCTTCCACTGTTCCACCTTTTACGTGTGTTTTGCCTCTTTCCTCTCTTGCTTTCTCTCGCCTCTTGTAAGTTGTTGGTCATTTGTGCTTATGCGTATATGTTATCGTGCTATGTTTAGGCCGACGTAAACCTTATCTAGTACTAATTAGCAAGTTACACGAAACCTGATATACTGTATTTTAGAATATGACTCTATATATCGTGCTACGTTTAGGCTGATGCAAACCTACCTAATATTAACTAGCAAGTTACACGAAACCTAATATACTGTAGTTTAGAATAGGACTTTGTGCCATCATTACTAGATATAAGTTATTTTAACTCGTATGAACATGTGTCATAATCCAGATCAAATACGAGATAGGGAGAACGCGACGACAATTCGAAAAGTAAAAGAATAAAATGATTATGCGGCCTGTCTGTTTTTTCCCTTTCTACAGTGCTCTTGCGCCCCTTTCTGCCTTATACATGACACCACTCACAACCTTGCTCTTATAAGTTAGAACCATACTCATATACGTATTGAAATAGATAATGCAACCATTACATAAATCTCTGAGCTATAAGTTGTTCAGGTTAATCGAGCGATAAGGTGTATGTTGTGTTGCAACGTGCCAACAAGTTTGCTATTATATACGTATGCTCGCTAGTGGTCTCCTTCAATTCACTTCAATCATTCTATACAGGCAGAATCATGATTACAGTGAATCACCAGCGTATTTAGAGATCTACCTAGTTTTTAGCTATAATTCTAATTCTAAGAACCACTACATACTGTACCTCCGTCAAAAAAAAAAACTTGATGTTTTAGGATTTTAGGATAGATTAGTGCTCAATGAAAATACCAATGTATCCCTATTTATTGAAGGTGAACTATGCTAATTAAGGAATAAATCCCTTACTTAAGATTTGTCCAAATATAATGTCTAAGCAAAAATATCAAGTTTTTTAGGACAATTTTTAAATCCCAGAGTTTTTTGGGCAGAGGAAGTACAACGCCACAGCGACTCTCTCTATCAGACTTTCTTTATCAAGTTTTTTGGACGAAGTGGGAAAATTGTACCAGTACCATTAAAAGATTCAAAGTTTAGAAAAATAGCACCGAAAGATTGGGCTTTAGAAAAATAGCATTGAAAGATCACTCTGTTATAGAATTCTACCATGTCTGTTAAGTTCCTGTTAAAATTGAGAATAACAAGTGAAAAAACTGAATTGACCAGTGTCTGCGTGTGCGTGAGTTGGCTGTGTGCACTTCAGCCGCCATGCTAAACTGCTAACACCTGCCTCTTCATCCATCGATGTTGAATTGTTGATCTTTTCTTGCTCGATCCCACTTCCCGGCTCCGATCTGTCTCTGGCAATCCGGCCTCACCCTCAGTACGAGCAGTTCACGACTCGATCAGGCCACTGGACGATTTTTCGGCGGCGCCGTTGCGCAGCATGTATAACGCGATTTCGTGCCCGTGCTCTACTTCAACCAGTCGGGGCCGCTCATGCCCGTGCTCTGCAACCCGTTCAACCCGGACATGAGCCCCCCACCGGTGCGCACCTGGCGAGGTCGACTTCGGCAGCGCGGCGCGGGAGTGGAAGCGCTTTGAGTACCAGACCACGGGGCCACCGGGGGTCGGAAGGGGTGCGGCGTACGGCCAGTCGGCCATGACGGCGGCGACGAGCGTCAGCAAGAGGCTGTACGAGTTCAGCCCGTTCATGGTGCAGCTGCAGGACTGCTCCTTCGTGCGGGAGACGTTCACGTCAATCAGCAACAACAACTGCCCTAGGCTCCAGCAATACAGCCGGGACGTCTACGTCGGCCTCGTCGTCATCTGTGCCGGCGGCATGCTGTCCGTCGTCGCATCAGCAGGGGATGATGGCAGTGGACGTGGAAGTCACACGCACCTCTGACCTCTCCCAGAGGAACGCCATGGAGAGGATAACGGGAACTTAACAGACATGGTAGGATTCTATAACAGAGTGATCTTTCCATGCTATATTTTTAAAACAAAATCTTTCGATGCTATTTTTCTAAACTTAAGATCTTTTAATGGTATAGATCTAATTTTTCCTTGTCTATATCCGCTAGACACTCTCAGTCACTAATGACGAATGCACCAAAAGCTTCAAGATCACAGTGAAAAACAGTGCACGGGGCTTCGTTTTCATCAGTCATCAACACAAGATCGGAGGAGCAGTAGCACTGTGGTAGTAGTAGGTAGGAAGGCCTGCACGCGTCATGGTGGCAGCTAGCATCTCCAAATGCTCTTTGCGTTGTCGCTCTCATTAGCTAACCGAGCCGGAAGCACTTTATTATTTCATCGCCTTTTGCTTGGAGCGTCTAATCCTCGGTCATAAGTCATAACCAATGCCGCCTTATCCATTCAGATACAATCAATCAATTATTACCTAATGTCTATTGCATCACTTGTTGCATCAGTCACTCGATCTCTTGTCTAATACAAGACGTGTGTTGACGATCTTGGCTTTAGAAGATAAAATCGAAACCCTCTGCATGCTTGGCACGGTTGCAAGTATATATTTACATTGGGCGTGGCTAGACACCTGCGCGTGCCTGCCCTCCGGACATCCAGACGCTAGCCCCTGCCCAGACACCTGCGCGTGCCTGCCTGCTCCGTCTACACTTGCTGCTGCTGCTTGCTTGGCATGTTGCACGCACCCGTATGCATCTGCTGCTGCTGCGCGCCTAAGATGTTGCTGCTGCATGCCCCGCCAGCTGCACGCGCCCGCACACCTACGCATGCTGCTGTTGGGCTGCACGCGCCCGCATGCGCTTGCTGCTGCACGCCTACACATACCCGCCTGCTGCTGCTTCGCATGATGTCTGCTAATAAAAACACTTATAACATGAAGCACTCCGCAACATACGTCTGAATCAGATGAAATATTTGGAACATATGCTTGCAACAAATATGCATAGCCATTGCAACATATGCAACATCATGATAAAACACTTGCGACATATTTCTAAAACAACTGAAACATTTAGAACATACACTTATAACCTACGTGTATAGCCACTTCAACGTATGCAACATTTAGATAAAATACTTGCAACATACATTTGAAATAGTTGAACATTTGAAACGTACATACATTTGCAACATATATGTATAGCCATTCTAATATATGCAACACCAGATCTACTTTTGCAACATCTAGATGAAACATATGCAACATACATCTGAAACACATGAAACATATAGTTGCAAAAATTTGCTCATCTACTTGTTGCCGTCCAATGGAGCTCGCTGACGTGGTGCGAGGGAGCGCAACGTAAGGCGCAGGCGGCTCACGATGCGAGCCACGAACGGCGCGCAAGGCGAGGCATGGGCGGGGTGTGCGGCACGAGGCACGGGGTGGGTTCGGCTCGAGGCACGAGGAACAGGGGTCCGCCACGCGAGGCGGGTCCGCGCGTGATGCGCGAGAAGGAAGGTGCATAATGGTTGGAGGCTCTCAACGGGGACGTGTTCCTGGAGAGACTTAACATAATTTTGATTGGTCCATTATCATTAAATCCAAAGGATAATAAAACACCCAAACCAAATCCAACGGCTACTGTTCATGTGCGACGGCAGGCTTCTCACCCGCCTTCTCACCCCGCACGCCCGCCGCCCCTGCATGCCCGCCGCCAGGGATCGAATCCCACAGGCACCCAGCGCCTGCGTTATTTTTCATCAGGGAAAAAAACACCAACGCTTTCCGCAATTCATCAATCACGTAGCAACACAAGCCCAATCTGTCCTGCCCGCTAAGCCCCCACCGCGTCCCCGGCCGTGCCGCTGCTCCTCCGCCGCCGCCTCGCCACCACTCGCTCCGTGGCCACAGCGCGGGACTGCATCATAGCCAGCTATGAGAATAGGATCCCCATCCCCCGTTTTCGTCGCCTACTACTTCCGCCGTGGGGATGCCGTCATCCTACTCCACGTGTGTCCTCTGCTCCCTCCCAAACCCTAGCTGAGGTGCCACCGCCGCCTTCAACTACAAGGCTGGCATCAACGGCGATGACTTCGAGGCCGCTACGCGAAGGATGGAGGGCAACTACAATGACTTCACGACCTCCAAGACTGATGACGTCACCAAGCCACTCAAGGTCGCGGTCATCCCCTAGAAAGATCCACATCTGGGAAGCAAGGATCGGGCTGGCTCCGGCCGGGACGGTGTCGATCGCGCGGTGCCGCAGGGCGGGAGGGCCGTGTGCGTGCTGGTCGACAGTCGTCCTAGTCGAGCTGCCGCCAGACCACCACTTGCTAGCGCCGCCAGATCCGCCAGTTGCGAGTGTCGCTGGGCCACCGTGCGCGGCGCCGCCAGATCCGCAGTCCAGTCGCGGGCGCCGCCGGGCAGGAACAGGCACCGTCGGGCCCCTCACATGCGGTCGAGCAAGGAGCGTCTCTCGAAAGGTCACCCTTCCGCTTTTGTTTCGGTTGATAAAAAGATTTATTAAATTTCAGAGTGTTTTATCCCAATCAATGATAACCAATTTTGGTGCTGCTTTTGTTGATGCCAAATTTGATTGCTGAACCAGGTGTATTCTCTCATGCAGAGACTGTGGGTGCACCGGTTTCTTACCAGCGACGTGATGCTCTGGAAGAGTTGGAAGAGGCTTCTGACCTTCATAAAGAAGAGTTAAACGAGGTGGACGCACTGAAACAAGACCAAGATGAAGGTGAGACATGCGCATGGTGTGTCTGTTTCTATTTATTTTCTGAAGCAGCTGCACGTTATAGCTATTTTTTTAACTTTTGTTTTTGTATTGAATTTTCAGACGTCGTTATCATTGAGGATGAGAAGCTAATGGAAGAGACCTCAGCAGAAGAGCCATCTGTGACCAATCAGGAGTGTACGGATAAATTGGAAATGCAAGAACACCAAGTGGACGATGAGGAGTGTCATGCTCCCTTGGCGATGGAGGCTCCAGTTCAGGTCTGTTGGACAAAGGAGTGTGTGAGGAGACCTATGATGCAGGTGAAATGATGGGATTGGTGCTCGGCGTTCCGGCTCTGCAGCCCCATTGACAGCCGATGAAAGTGATACCAGCCATGTAAGTGAAATTGGAAATGTCAGAGAAGAAATTAGTGAGGTTGGTACAAAAGATGATGAGATCTGTAAGGAGAAGGAACATACGGATATTGCTGAGTTGCAGGCTGACATTGTGGATGAGGCAGCTTTTCTTGATTGCTCCGGTAACATCAGACAAGGTTGCTGCAGAAAGATCTTCTCTGTTTTCATGCTTGCTTTTTGACAGCAAAAAAGCAGAGGACACCTAGGTACATCAAGATTGATCTCCCGCAGGTTAGGTTCGATCCAAAGTCCAACTGAATTAATAAGCAATTACAGAATCAAGTTAAGATGAAACTTTTTTCTTCAACCTTAGAAATAAGAGAACTTCCTGTTTTATTAGTATTATATATTTTAGTTTGATGTTAGTGAATTTTCAGGCCTTTAATATGTGACAGGTTATTAGTGACAATTAAGGTGGAGGTGGATGTAGAGTACATGCCGGAGAAGGCCGATAAGAAGAAGGATGGAGGTCTCTCCAATAATAAGAAGAGGCTGGAGCGCAGGATGAAGATTGTAGACCTCAAACATATATGCAACATACCTGAAGTCGTAGAGGTGCACTCTTCATTCTAATCAAAGTGACCCCGCTGTTAGCAATTTCATTTTTGCTGATAAAAAACCACTACTTTTAGATCATCTATCTTCATCTCATTTTTTTAAGAACCGAATCAAGTGTTATTAAATAGCACAAGTGTGTTTGTTCTGAATGTCTTGTCTATGTATTTGGATAGACAGTTGACTCACCAATTTTTTCTCACCAATGTTGCAGATCAGTAGATGCTTGAGAGGGAAATTGGTCGTCTTAGAACATTGTTCCAGCAGCAGCAACAACAACAACGTGTACCACAGCTGCAGGCTTCTACCCATAGCCGTAGTAACAGCAGACCTGGATTCACAATTTGCAAACCTGTCTATGAAACACAACGATCCCAGTTCAGGGCGCGATGCTGTCTCTGGCCTTTGCATTTAAGATTCCTTTGTTCCGGCCTTTGGTTCTATGAGCTTCGCAAAGCTTCGCAAAACTTTTATATTCATCACATTTACAGCTGAAATCATTTAGTGATTGAAAATCAGGTTTGAAGTTCTCATTTTCTAAAATTTAAAATTTGATTTGTCCAAAATTAGTGACAAAGATAGATGACCAGACTAAAATGATAGAGCATGATTTTAGAAAATTTTAGGAAAAAAAACCATCACATTTGGAGTTAGTACGAGGGAGAAAAGCTAGTTACAAGTTTCAGTCATAGATTAAAAAGATAAATCACACTTGTTCATCATGGATTAAAATGAATAGTTATGATTTTTCTTTTTAATTTCTAGGTAAAATTTGTAACTAGTCTTTCTTCCTCATACTAACTCAAATGTGATGATTTTTTTTCTAAAATTTTCTAAAATCATGCCCTATCAAGTTACTGTGTTGATTTGGTTATTCTTTTCGTTTGACAAAGTTTTAGCAATTCAAATTTTCAAATTAAAAAAAAATAACAAGTTCTAAAACACCAAATGATTTTAGCTGAAAAAGTGATGAATACCAAAGATGTATAACTCATTAAAATCTACAACTTTTATTTTGGTTATTTTTTCATCCGACAAAATATTATATATATTTGTGCATATATAGAATAATACAAAATATTATATATATTTACTTTATGTTTTGTGATATAAAAAATACAGAATTAATAATTTAATAAAATGGAAAATAATATTTTAAGGCGTTTTTCAGATTTAGATCATTTAGAACCTTGCCCCTACAAATTACAACATATTATAGTTAATTTAATGTGGTGTTTTAATTCAAATTTTTAATTTTTGATTTTTCATTTTCT